TACACGGTGAAGAGAGGAAACATTCATGGTGTACACAGTGAGGAGAGGAAACGTTCATGATGTACACAGTGAAGAGAGGAAACATTCATGGTGTACACAGTGAGGAGAGGAAACATTCATGGTGTACACAGTGAAGAGAGGAAACGTTCATGGTGTACACGGTGAAGAGAGGAAACATTCATGGTGTACACAGTGAAGAGAAGAAACGTTCATGGTGTACACAATGAGAGGAAACATTCATGGTGTACACAGTGAGGAGAGGAAACGTTCATGGTGTACACAGTGAAGAGAGGAAACATTCATGGTGTACACAGTGAAGAGGAGGAAACGTTCATGGGTTCGATGGCTCAGTGTTCGGGATTCAGTGTTCGGGGGGTTCAGTGGTTCAGTGTTCGGGGGGTTCAGTGGTTCAGTGTTCGAGGGTTCAGTGTTCGAGGGTTCAGTGTTCGAGGGTTCAGTGTTCGAGGGTTCAGTGTTCACGGGTTCAGTGTTCGGGTGTTCAGTGTTCGGGGGGTTTCAGTCAGTGGTCAGTGTTTGGGGACAGGAGTAGTGTTCAGAGCTGGGCGTAATTTCCTCTAACATTCTCACCAAATTTACTTCACATCATTAACTTTCAGAGACGTGACTACCTTCCCCATGAGTCGACGAGATGTAGACTATTACCTAAAATTATCACGAGTGCGTTAGCTGGACCTACTGATCCTTCACACGATGCCAACCAAGTTATTCTAATCCCACCAACCAAATCTAACCATGCAATTTTAACCAATCACTAAGCAATTAAATCAATCCAACCAACCTATTTTAACCAACCAGAGGCGAACCAAAGCAATCTTAGTATCAAGCTAATTTTCAGACTATATGATTCAACCACATCTAACCTAACCTAACTTAATTGAAGAATCTAAGGGGGTCGGGTGAAGTGAGAGGGGGTGGAGTGGGAAATGAGAAGGAGAGGCGGACAGGGAGGAGTATGGGTAGTGAGGGTGGAGTAGGAAGTGAGAGGGGATGAGTAGAAAGTGAGAAGGGATGAGTAGAAAGTGAGAGGGGAAGGAGTATGGGTAGAGAGGAGGGGGGGGCAGGGAAGGTGAGAAGGGATAGGAAGTGAAAGGGGAAGGAAGTGAAAGGGGGAGAAGTAGGGGAAGGGGAAGGGAGGAAGAGAAAGGGGAGGTAAGAGGTTAGGGGGAGGAGGAGGAGAGGAAATAAATCCACTTGAATACCATATCAGGTTTCAATGGGTAATTTTTCTCCATTTAATAATTTTTTTTGGGGGGGGGGGAGGGGGGTGCCATGACATATCAAATTCACTTTTTTTGTTTTTTTTAGCCTTTAACTCTATACAATATCAAAAAGACACTTCTGAAAATATTATATGTTGTAGTAGATTTCCCCCCTACAAACTCTGTTTGTCGCGGCGTAGCCGACCCCACGAATTCCCCAGTGTATGCCTCGTGGTCTAGGTCAACCAGCGCCACCCACGGAGCGGGGGTCAACTACTAAGCCACGCCAACCCCCGCTATTTAAGACCTGACCTCATGGTGATCTGTCTCTTTCTACCTACACCAACCAGCCAGCAACACCTCCTCCTCCTCCGCCTGCCTGGCGGCCCTCGCTCCCGCCGGAGAGCATGGCGACCCACAAGCTGTCCTTCTCTGAGCATCCTCACCAACCAGCTCTCTCTACATCACGCTTGTAACCATGCTGCCTTCCCAGCACCAAGCTGCATTGTACATCCAATACAACATGTATACATGAGAGCACATTGTGAGTTTCCTTTCTCCAACCCATCCTGAGTGTGAACACAAACATCCCATACCCCACAAATGGTGACCCGCGGAGTGATTCGCACTCACACAGGATGGAGGAGAAACTGATCACGCTCCCAGTCTTCAAGCAACATGGAAGACTGGCTTATCCACACAGAAGCAGCTCTCATCGGTTCTACAACTACTGTCTCTACACCGCAGGTTAGACACCCTAGAGCAGCACTGCTTCTCTAAGCAGACACCAGCTCCTCTTCCTGCCCCAAGCACCACGTCCTACCGACCCCAGCACACCCGTCCTGCCTCAGACGCCGCCCCCGGCCCAGCAGTAACCCCTGCCGCCCCTGATGCGGCCCCTGCTCCTGATGCGGACCAACACACCCGTCCTGCCTCAGACGCCGACCCCGGCCCAGCAGTACCCCCTGCCGCTTCTCCTGACGCGGCCCCTGTTCCTGAGTGCGGACCCACACACCCCTCTTTTCTCCCTCAGGTACTCCCTGCTAATGTCCTGCACCCTGCTGCTGTCGTGGACCCAGCTGCTGTCACGAGCCCCCATCCGCTTCTGCTGACGCAGCCCCTGCTCCTGACCCAGGCCCACACACCCCAGAAGGCGCATCTGACGACTCTGTACCTGCCGTGAGGGAAGCACAACATTCATCGCCTCCACACACCCTTTTTCTCCCTCTCTACTCCCACAGATATTGTGTATCTAGACAGTTGTCTCTAGCGACCGGCTCATCCACGCCATCGCCGTTGTCTCACATGAGGCACGCACTGCTGTTCTGCCTCACATGTGCTATGCAACCCTGCAGACAACAAGTCTCCTACACCACCTGGAGGGAAGGAGGGAGTATTGTAGTGGATTTCTCCCCTACAAACGCTGTTTGTCGCTGCGTAGCCGACCCCACCAATTCCCCAGTGTATGCCTCGTGGTCTAGGTCAACCAGCGCCGCCCACGGAGCGGGGGTCAACTACTAAGCCACGCCAACCCCCGCTATTTAAGACCTGACCTCGTGGTGATCTGTCTCTTTCTACCTACACCAACCAGCCAGCAACACCTCCTCCTCCGCCTGCCTGGCGGTCCTCGCTCCCGCCGGCGAGCATGGCGACCCACAAGCTGTCCTCCTCTGAGCATCCTCACCAACCAGCTCTCTCTACATCACGCTTGTAACCATGCTGCCTTCCCAGCACCAAGCTGCATTGTACATCCAATACAACATGTATACATGAGAGCACATTGTGAGTTTCCTTTCTCCAACCCATCCTGAGTGTGAACCAAACAACCCATACCCCACAATGTATCTCCCATTGCTAAAAGTGAAGGGTGAAAGTTGAGATAGAGAGTCACTGGTGAGTAGACAGATAATTGAGTGGGAGTGTCTAGAATATACCATAAATCACCTGGGAGGGAAGGGGAGCGGGAGGGTTTACCTAACTTATTGTTCACATTCACTGAATACAGATATAAGCCGTTTGATTCTCACAGTGTGGCCGACATTCACACAAACATATACAGACAGACTCATTCTCTCTCTAACTGATGTAACACATGTGTCTCTTAATGGTTGTTCCTCTACTACTACAGTATAACAAGGCCATAAGATATCCCCGCTGGTTTATTTCACTCCACCCAATCTGCCTCACCCATCAAAAACAAGATCATCCCCAAGATTAATTAATTTCTCACTGTTCTATCATTAATCCTTGGCAATATCCGTAGACCATTTGATTAAACACCTTAACACTAAATGATGGTGGGGAGAGGTTAGGTTATGGTTGTGGTTGGTTGGTTAGCATTCGTATGTTTAATAATCAGGTGAAATAAGCAGGGATTAATATCTTTCATGACCCCTCCAACACCACGTCACTCATCACACAGCACACACACAAGAATACATCAACTGAGGATCCTGAACACATTATAATCACAATGTGTTTTAAATGTTGACTTATTACAAAAATATTTTGAAGTAAATCCCTAAATACACAGTCAATACTCTTCTTAAAATTATCCATCCATTATCTTAACTAATTTTTCTCATTTTTGTGTGAGGTGGACCAAGGAATAACAGAGCTCTTAAAATTATGGGAAAAAGAGTAAGAGTGAATCAAGACAAGTGTTGAAAGTGACAGTAGACTGCTGAGACAACAAGTAGAACTGTCTACATTTATTACTGTAGTACTTGTTCACATATCAAAATCCTAAAATAATGCGTTCTAAATATATTTCCTGATATCCAACATTTTACACATAAATATATACAGTATTAAAATAAAACTAATAGAAATTAAGTTTAAGTCAATGTCACAAATAATTTTAGAGAAATTTACACTTCTATTTTCATAATATTCAGCACATTGTTTTGTACAGTATATGTGACTCCACCCACCACTGATGATGATAGTGTCCAGCTAGCTTTACAGGCTCCACCTTCCATGTCCTCAACACACACCTCAACTCTCACTTTAAAAGAAATTGAGGAGACATTTGAGTGCATTTATTTAAAGTGTATTTTCATCCTTTTTTCTTAAATATCCTGATTGTTTAATACATACAGTGTAATAATAATGATAATAACAATAATAATAATTACTATTACTGTACTATTATTCAGTAAAAGCATCAGACAAGTTTACAATTAGTTTGCCATGTACTGTACTGTACTGGTATACAGTTAAGCATGTGTGTAGACAATGCAGGTACAGAATATGGTGTACATAGACTGTGAAGGTATACAGTTCTCAATGTACCCTAAACAGTGCAGGCATATAACAATAGTAAACTGTAAGGCAGTTTGACCACGGACAGCTGACAAAGCCATCAGATGCTTTTTCCAGTAAGGTTTTATTAATTAGAAGCAAGCATGTGTAACCTTATGTAACTTTTAGATTCACTCACAAACAGCAATGTATAATGTCTAGAAAGGACAGTATTGGATGTCCTAATGACACAAGTTTTTTGCTCATGGAAACAGACTTAACAGACAATTTTACTTTTAATGTTAAAAGCAAAGTTGTCTAATTCTGCATTACCTTTGCTACCATATAACTATTCTTCCAAATATGTATTGTTATTCCTCTCTAAGTTAGGTTAGGTTATAAACACTATTATAACATCATCAACACAGATGATTTACTTGGCCTATGCTATATTATTACCTCTATGCTGTACTTGTTTTTAATATTTCTGAATTATCTATAGGAAGACAATATACTAATATAAATTATGCATTGCAGGTTACTGGTGGGGGTGGTGTGGTGTGCACTGCTTGTCAGTGCACAAGAACCTGCAGAGTTGGATTATTACGATTACTACTATGATGATATGGGTGCTGACGAAGCTCCTAACAAAGCACCTGCAGGTAAAGGGACTGCTGCAGCACCAACGGGTAAGGGGACTGCTGCAGCACCAGCGGATAAGGGGACTGCTGAAGCACCTACCAAGTCAGAAACCGCCGGTACTGAAGTCCAACCTGAAGAACCTGCAGCAACTGAACCGCCAGTAGAGAAGTCCACCACCACTCAGCCGAGTGCCTCCATTCCAAAACGTAAAATAATAAGTCTGAGTAGGATTGCACACATTGGTAGACGCAGACCATCGCCTGGTTCAATAGCAGCAGCAGCAGATAGAATTAAGCCTACTGATGCTTCTCCTACCGCCCCAGCTAAATCTAGTAATGGTCGTACACGCTCGTCTCTTCGCAGCAGACCGTCTACTCCTCGACGTCAATCATCTAGGGTTGGGTCTGCCTCAAAGGGGGCAAGCACTGACACCAGTACCGCAAACGCTCCTCGGGAAACCCAATCTTCTTCTAACTTAAGAACACGTAGTAGTATTAGTCGGCCCCGTCCATCAGCGTCTCGCACGAGGGAATCAAGCAGTCCTGCTAGCAAAGCAGCTTCCAGTCGTACCACTACCACTGATACGTCTGCCGACAGCACAAAGGGTCAACAACTCGGCAGTCGTGGAAGCAGAATGAGGTCATCTCGCCCTGGTTCCACCACCACCACCACTACCAGACCCAGGTTTGCTTCTCATCGCAGACTTAGTTCGTAATTTTCATATACACATACACCCACTCATTCATTATGGAAGCAGCTTATCCCCTTCACAAACCAAACATATGTTTCAATTGGCTACATTTCCAGTCACTGTCACTTGATTGAGCCCAGCATTTAACAGACTCAGTTATCAAAAGATGTGTAGAGTATGCACACTGCAGTTATGAGTTGTATATTTCTTCTAAAGTCTGTTTAACCAAAAACCTTAAACTTGAATTTGCAGTAATGCAGCCGACATACTTTGTGTCAGTAGTGAGGATTTTTTTCTTGTTGCTGTAACCACAACTTAGTTGTTCTGTTGCTGTAACCACAACTTAGTTGTTCTGTTGCTGTAACCACAACTCAAGTTGCTCATGAATGTAATTTTGGGGTAAAATACTGTATTATCAAGTCTTATACTATCCTTGGTATTGTTTTTTCAAAGGGGTTTTAGAAGATCCAGCATGAGACTGTGTCTCCTTAGAGGTGTGTCCTTTTAGTCAAAAACTATATAAAGTAAATGTAAATACTGTAGAGTACAGTACAATGTTGTACAAGTTTTCACATTAAACATTACTCATTGTGAATCATGGCCAAATCAATTCTATAAGTGCAAGTGAATACAGTTCCTTAAAATATAAAATGCACTCTTTTACCCGCATGAGCCTCTAGCTTGGGTGCTTGGAGTACAATACAGTATGTACTCCCCCTCCTCATGCTAAGACTTCATCAAGGAGAACCCTGAGGTCATTGTTCATCATGCATTTTACACAAACTTTCAGTTTTGCTAATATGGGTCAGGTTACTGCAAACACCGCATTTATTTCTCCACTTCAAATCCAATAGTTCCTTTCACTCTTGTCTTGTTAATACAGTACAGTAGTAATACAGCTTGTCTTCCCTGTGCTCTATACTTTCTCTTCTGATGCAGGAAATATTGTCTTATACCAACATATTATCTCTATATAAATAATGCACTACTGTGAATTTTAGTATTACGTACATCCTAACAACAACCAGTTGTTGTGATTCTTACTTGAGTCTTGTTCTCTTATTTCTGTTCACTGTTAATTGATACAAAAAGTTTGTTTCTCATCTTTCATTCTTCATACTATCAGTTGTGTATAATTTTAAAGTGTTAATAAAAATACTGTAGTTAAATTTATATTCCTCCTCCTTGATGAAAGTGAAGGGCAAAGGGAACTCTTGAGGTAAACAATATTTTTGATGGACATATTTACCAAATGTGGCAGATCATTTCTACTTCTTTCATTTGAAACATTAATCATACCCAATGTGACCTTAGCATGACAAAGTGCATAACATGACTTAAACAATAAGAAGCCAGTAACATTATTTCAACATTTATAACTGAACCTACTAAGTTAGCTCACTCACTGTGGGCATCCTGACCAACCATTATTCTTACAAGAACAGTACTGTATTTGACTTGTTACTCGGTGAGTCACTCTGCCACATCGGCAAGTTTACAGTTATTTTGTATCTTTTCAATATTTAAGACAATACAATTCTTTGGGCTGAAGACAAAGCGTTTACTAGAATTTTTTTTTTATTTGAGTGAGGGTGATGTGGAGGTGTGACTCACATAGTCAGATGCTTCTGAGAATAACACAGTGAAGGACTTCACAAGTTAGTGCACAGTACAGTACTGACATCGGGGTGGATCCACAAGTTTCAAGAAGGTAAAGTTTTCTACCTTCCATCACCTTATATCATGAGTAACATTTATGTGAGAGTCCAGATGTCGTGCAGTAATAAGACATTTGGTCACTTAAACAAGTCTGTATACAGTATCAGGTGATGGGAATGCTTGAAATAACTAACACAAGATGAAGTCTCAGATTTGTTAACATTTGACAATGTCCCCTGGCACAGAGGGGCAGGATCCCTCCCTCAACACAGTAATCCTTCTTCTCACTCTTTCCATTTTGCATGAGAATGTTTGTCATTTCTATTAACACTTAACAATATTTTTACATAACAGTTAGTTACATTAATTAAAAATGGTACAGTACTATACTGTTTATGTTATCATGAACCACAAGAAGCTTTACAATTTTATCTTATACATGTGGTGTAGTGTTGTGAACATATCAAGACCTTTCCTGCAGGGTGGAAAGTGGAAGGAATCACAGTCAACAAAGAATCTTCCATCACTCATTCTCTCTAACAACTGGAAGATATGCCTTAATGTTTCCTCCCACAACAAAGCCTCAAGGTGTTAAAATAATACAAACTTTGGTTGCAGGTACAATACTTCCAGTAATTCAACAAAAGGAATTAAATTTAACATGAATGTATCAAAAAGTCATATTAATCATCATGTAAACTCATGTTCCGAGAAAAGAGTACACATTCATTTTTAACCAGTGTGAGAGAGAAAAAACAAGTGTGTGTGTGTGTGTGTAATAATAAAAAATAATAATAATAAACGGTTTATTAATAGAGTTGCAGCCAGTGGCTGAAAATATACACTTACATTTAATTTAGACATAATGATATAATGTGTGTGTGTGTGTGTGTGTGTGTGTGTGTACAGTAAGTCCTTGCTTAACGTCGTGGTTCTGTTCCTGAAAACCGCCATGTTAACGGAAAAAACGTTAACGGAATCAATTTTCCCATAAGAAATAGATAAAATACGGGAGTAATGTTCCCAGCCTCCCTTTGCCCCATAAAATACATTACATATACATAAATTCAATAGAATTTTTAGAGAAAATAATACATATTATACATCCAAAAAGATAAATAAACTAAATCATTTTGTATACGTAGTCAGTTCTGCTACAACGCGATAGTTGTGTTCTTGTAAAACCTTGCGTTGTAGAAATTCGCGCAATAGAAATAACAGGGCTTATGGAGAAAATAGGGTTAGGTGCAGATTACTCGAAATCGAAAAAAATTTAGTACTTAGCCGAACACAAAGGATCCTTTTTTTGCAAATTTAGCTACAGTATTCCCGTTGCACGCACAATATCATATGTTCTTTCCTTACGTTCAAAACGCTTGATAACATCAAGCTTCTCTTCAAGTGTTATAGCCTTTCTTTTACGATCACAACCGGGAATGCGATCACCAGAACGCTTCTTGGAGATATTCTTCTTTTTCATATTCACAGTTTATACCACAAAATTGGAGAAATAGTAAGCAAAAATCACTGAGGAGGCTTCAAAAGAACCCACATGTTTCAACTAATTGTGTGATGGAAACAGAGAGCGCGGGAGTAAAACGCTATTAGTCCGCACTGCGAAACATTATTTTTATTTTTTTTCATACAGTATTTATGGGAACAACTAAATTTGCAAAAAAAGGATGAAATTTATAGAGTCCCTATCAAATAACATTTCACAAACAAAACACATGAATCAATTGAACATGTGATGTCGAACATGAACTGTAAACACTGCATAACCCCACGCCAAGTGACAGTACACTTAAAACGTTCGAGTGGAATTGCGTTACAGCCAACAGGCGTTCGCGTTTTACAAATATCATTCTTCTATTCATCAATCACGTTATAGCCAATTCGCGTTGACAAAACACGCTTTGTAGCAGAAATGACTGTATTGTACTCACTGATGGGCGGAAGTGGACCGAGTGTTTGGTGGGTAGTGGAGAGGAGGAGGGTGGGGAGTCAGTGAGGCCTGGAGGGTGGCTCTGACTGGGTGAGAGAGGGTGATGCGCCGTACAAAGTAGTCTGTGACGACGTTATACCAAATCGGTGGGACATTGTCTGAATCATAGGCATCTAAAGAGTAGCGACGTTATAACGAAACAATGTTGTTGGGGGCAACGTTAAACGAGGACTTACTGTATGTATGTATGTATGTATGTATGTATGTATGTATGTATGTACAGTATGTGTGTGTATGTGTGTATCTATGTCTGTGTGTGTGTGTGTGTGTGTGTGTATGTATGGGTGTGTATAAGTTTCCATGTACAGTCGAGTATTTTATTCTATATGAGTTTATAATTTAACACAGTAAATGCTTGTTTAAATTTTGAGGGGGCAATGAAAGTAGAGATAAAGTAGAAGTTTGGATGATCACAGACCGACTGTATACTGTACCAGGGCTATAGTAAATATTAGGATGAAAATGTTGACTATCAACTTGGCACTGCAATAGGACTTTCACCATATACTGTAGCTGTATATTGTGTACAAAACATAATATATGGTTTTAGATTTTCAACATAAACAAAATCAATCATCAAGTTCAAATCTAAATCAACAGCTCATTCAGGTTGTATATTAATATGCACACACATATGAGTATGTTTTATGTGTATTATCGGAGCAAATTTTATATTCACAAGGTATACCAAGCAGTTCTGATTTGTGTTGTCGTCGTGTTATGGAGTTTTTCGAGTTCATAAATTCATGAAATATTTTAAAGAAAATTTTTACAGTAGATAGATATAATATTTGTGATAAAGAAAATTAGGAATAAATGGAACATCTCTTAGATGTTTGCTAGTGGGAGGGCAGAAGAGTAGAAGTGCAGGAAGGTAGGAATGCAGCAGGGTAGGGGGTAGGAGTGCAGGGGGGTAGGAGGGCAGGACACACTTCTTATAGCTCTTGGGGGAGGAATGATGGTATAGGTTCTCTAGTTCTAACACCTCTGCTTTTGCTAAAGAATCTATAAAACCACATGTGATCTTCTGTGACACGAGGAGCAACGTAGGTTTTTGTTAAATGTGATGTTTTGGGCATGAGAGAAGGAAGGTTCTTACCCATTCTAAAATAGTTACCACCTGGACTCATACAAATTTCTTATATTGATGAAGTATGGCTGGAATGAAGAGCCAACACAGGATCCCCCCCCCCCCCTTCATTTGCTGTTATTCAATCTAACTGCTGTAACAGATGTGCTTTACTGTGCTGTTAACTATTCACAGCAAGACCAAAAAATTCCATGGTCATAAATGATATAAAACCATAACAGACTTCCTATCTCTGTACGAAGCTTTTATATAATAGGTACATAAACTTTTGGGTGAATAAAGCTTACCTCTACTGTCCTCGTCCTGTGGTGGATATTTTCCTCGCACGATGGATGTCTGTCCTGTGAGACTGAAAGCTGGCCCTGGAGTTATTTCACATTGATTCTCTAACTGAACTATCACCTCACAACATTTTGCTAAGGAAGTACAAGAGAAGGTCAGAGAGGGATGTATAGTACAGGGTATATCAGAATATTCAATAGTTGTTGTCTATTGTATGAAGTGAGTTAGCAGACATGTTGAGGTACATTAACACATGAAAAAATCAATACAGCTCATAAAGTTCATTTCTTAGACGACGGAAAATATGTAAAAATATTTGTGTTGAATCGTCTTGTGTTGTCCACTGAGAGAATAAGTGAGGGATGTGTGGAGATTAATTACATCAATAAACAATGTAATTGATCTGTGTAACTTATGGGTAAAAACAAAATTTATTCTAAGATCATCAGAAAGAGAATACTGTACTGTACAGTTAAACCTTTATTTAATGAACTACGTAGAGTGATTGTAGTGGTGGTAGTAATAGTGGTAGCAGTAGTAATGATAGTGGTGGTGGTGGTAGTGATAGTGGTGGTGATAGAAGTAGTGGTTGTAGTGGTGGTAGTAGGTAGTGGTGGCAGTAGTGGTTATAGTGGTGGCAGTAGTGGTTATAGTGGTGGCAGTAGTAGTTATAGTGGTGGCAGTTATAGTGATTGTGATCATGGTAGTAGTGGTGGTGTGTGGTGGATGATGAGGCAGCCCTCAGTGGTAGATGGAAGGCTGGTAGATTTCTACTTTAGTTTCTAGGTACAGTACAGTATAAACTTTTTCTTATTGTCTTGCTCACTGCACCATCACCACCAGACTACAGTACAGTATGTAGGGTGCACAAGAGCCTCTATTATCACACACACACACACACACACACACACACACAACTAGCACACTGATGGCACTCACACAGCATGGAAATTATAACCTGTGGTGTAAGGATCACTACAACACAGTCCTGACATAACAAAACACACGCACACACATAAAATGGCCAGTGAGTCATACCCAAACACTATATTCGTGAAGCAAACTACAATTCAACTAAAGTTTAAAAATGGTGGAGGAGCTACGATGAGAAACCATAAATACAGACTGGAACATCTACGAATAATAAGATAATGTTCGTAACTTTTCTACCGCGATAATTGATACTTGAATGTTAAAACAGACGACATATTGGGAGTTTACTGTATACAAGGCAGATGAATTGATGTAGTATGATCCTTAAGTTACACTGATACTTGTATGGATTTTCTCATTTTATTTACCACACTTCAATGCCCTAGATCAGGGGTTCTTAACCTGGGGTCCATGGACCCCAAAGGGATCCATGGATGGGCTTCAGGGGGTCTGTGAAGGTCAGATAAAAATTTAACATTTATATTCACTATACTTTGTTTATGTCATACACTGTATGAGGCAATGAATTTTCAATGAAATAAAGTATATTCATTGCATGCAAAGTTGTGTTTATGTGCTTATGTGCATTTTTCTAGGGAGGGGGTCCATAGCTTTCACCAGATTCTCAAAGGGGTTCGTGACTCAAAAAAGGTTAAGAACCACTGCCCTAGATGATACTCACTTTTTTCACTACGTAGGTACTTCCTCCAGTGTTGTTGTTACTATATTATTGCTGTTATCACTGTCATTGTTGCTGTTGTCACTGCTATTGTTGCTGTTGTCACAGTTTTTTTGGCTGCTGTCACTGTTATTGGTGCTGTTGTCACTGTTATTGTTGTTGGCGCACTGCTAGCCCTTAGGAGGCTATGAGAGCAGATGCCCACGAACGACCTGTCCTCGTGGAAACTCTGTCATGTATTCCTGCAGAAGAAAATAACATTAACATTTTAAATACTAAGAAATATCTATAAGCATACAGTATTAGGAAGGAGAGGGGTGTATGGAGTAGTAATTCCAGTGTTGTGAAGTGTGAGGAATAAAAGATGTGTGTGAGAGGAGAATGATTGTGTGTGTTGATGACAGTTGGGAGTCAGTGAGTTAAATACTTACAGTAAAACCTCTATTTAACGGACTATATGGAAAGGAAAGTTCGTTATATCGAGGGTCCGGTAGATGTGGAATCCCCTATTTAACAGATAATATTAAGAGAAAGTCCGCTACAGGGAGCTGTGTCACTGTGAGAACGTTGCGAGATGATAATTTGAAATTATTAAACAAAATATATAAATAAATACGTATAAGATATGACTATAAACCAGGCAATAAGAATTTTGGAAACATTTTATTCCAATTAACAAGAAGAAGAAAGTTAACACCAAGTACATGAGAAATTGACAGCAAAAACAATTGAGTAGAATCAGTAAGATGTTAGCAAAGGACTCTAGCATAATACTCCAAAGTTCTGAAGAAGATTTATGAGTGAGAAATAAATGACCAACCATTAAAGGAGATGATAAGTCCTCTGAGGCTGCTGTCTGAGCTGTAATGAAATAAAATACAGCAGTGCTTAAGACTCATGAAAATCACACCAAGTTGAACTACATCTGAACTGTATGTCTTGGGCAGACTAGATAGCCTTCAAGTAATCTTATGAGTTGGTTGGTCATAGACACAAGATGGGAATTCCTACCATGGTAGAGTAGCCACATTCATGAGTCTCTCAATAACACGACTACCATGGATCATTGACATCCTCCACAAGTGTTAAACCTCCTCGACTACAGATGTTCGACTCTGTGCCCCCTACATGTTAAAAGATGTCTATCCCACTACAGTTCCAATATCTCAGAAGGTAGACATATTATATGTATATTAGTCTCGTCAAGACATGCCACCACAGACAGTTACAATAAGATGTCGCATCCTCAAATTCTCAACTCTGCAGAAACACTCCAGATTTGAATTCTACGAGCTGAGAGTGTATGGTATAACTGACGAACCTGTCGCTTGTCTGTACCGAGAAACTAGTGCACAAAAAAGAATGAATGGAAAACAATGAAGAAAAGACATTAAGACATAAAACAATAGAGAAATGAAGTACAAAAATGTAACAAAAATCAGAAGAAAAACATATACCTATGGGTAGAAAAATATTTACTGAAAAAATAAGAGGACTGTTAAACACTTTGGTGCTGTATAATGAACCTGGCCAAACAAAAGAATATCGTAGCAAGAAAAGATGCCTACGTCACTACCTTAGTACAGAAATAAGGTTCTTCCACCCATGGTTGGTACCATACTCTACAATACAAGATGTAGTACTTTTCAATACCTTATATAGAAAAAAATACTCCCATTGTTTGGTCATTCTCACTCTAAAACCAGAAGCAGAAACAGGATTGGTTGAATGATGAGGAAAAGTTGATTGGTTGAATGATAAGGAAGAACTGGTTGGTTGGATAATGGTAAAGAACTACCGTAGTTGGTTGGATGATGAGGAGGAACTGGTTGGTTGGATGATGAGGAGAACTGGTTGGTTGGATGATGAGGAAGAGTTGCATGGTTAGATGATGAGAAAAGGATGAAAATAAGTAAAACCACACGGTAGATGAGTACGAGTATTATAAACCCCCAACATAATGCTTACAATACCCAGTGATGTCCACACAACTCTAACTGGAAACTTGAATCCCAGACCTACAGTAACAGTTAAAAATAACCTGATCATCTAAAGTAAATGAAAAATAAATAATAATAATAATAATAATAATAATAATAAATAGTACAGGTAGAATCCAATTTACAAAAGGGTTATGTAGTAAAATAACAATACAGTATAGGAGAATGTAAAGACCTTTTTTTTTTGAGGGGGTTGTGGAAAATAATGACTGTACAAAATTTATAAGTGTAAGAGTGAATGAATGACAATGAATGAAGAGAGGGAGAGTTTTGGACCCTACCATCTTGCAGTACGATGCTTTATTGGTTTCTGCAGTAGACAACTTTTAAAATTCATAACAATAACGATTAACACCTTTCTGTATACTGTTGACGGAGAGACATGTGTCGAGAGGAAAGAATTACTGGTAAATAAAGAGTTTAATTTTCTTCTTTAGTTGAATTATGTTTAATAATATTTTTATCAGGAAATTATTTATATGTCATAGTATAATAAATATGAATAAATTAAGCAAAAAGTCTTTACCATACTTTCAGAAGGAGAAACAACTACAGACACAGATATAGAGCCAGACATAATACACGGGGTAAGTTTAGACGCATTCCAAAGTTCCACCCAGTCGTGACCACGCCGCCTCCCGTGATAACCGAACCTCCAGTGACCGAAGAGATGACAACACTAGAAATAACAGAGGATGGCATGACAACCTTGCCACCTGACCTAGAACCACAAATAACAGAGACCACACCAGATCCAGTGTCCCCCATCTCTGAGGCTGTAACTATGTCACCTGCTCCAGCTCTTGAGACAACAACCATGGCACCTGTCCCAGTACCACCTACAACAACTGAGCCTATAACCAGGGCCACAACCCCAGCACCTCCCCCCCCACCACCAACCACCAGTACTACAACCCTGGCACCTCCCCCTCCACCACCAACCAGGGCCACAACCCTTGCACCTCCCCCACCACCACCAACCAGAGCACCTCCCCCCCTACCACCATTCAGGGCTACAACCTTTGCACCTCCTCCCATTCCACGGGTGATGCTCACAACCAAGGCACCAGCTCTAGTACCCATACCTGTTGAGGTCACACCCAGAACTGCAGTGGCCCCCAAACCAATTCGTATTATTTCTCCTGTGACATCACCAAACAGAGGCGTTTCCAGGTACGTAATTATTTTAACCATTCTTTTTTTTAATATTCTTCTCCTACTTTCTTTTTGTCACTGTAAAGCAAATGGCTGAAACTAACACCAAACATGCACTCTTCCTTGACCAAATATCATTCATTTATTTGTATTGCTGAGTTCTACTGTGATATATCCCTTTCACAACAAGATCCTAAATACCTATCTGTGCTAATTACAGTATGCAACATTACACTAATTCTTAATTTTAAACAAATTACAGTGAGAAAGAACTCAGAGAATACTCTCCAGTGGTACTGCTTTACAATACAGTACAGTACTCTATTATTATTTAACCTTCAATGCTTTATCTGAAGCTTTCATGTATTTTCACATTTATTTATTTTGGTTCTCTAAACTTCAGAACTACACAAATTATAGAATGAAACATTCATTAAATTTTCACACCACTGTGTTGTAAAGTACAGCGCAGTTGTCCCTCGTTACCTGAATGGGTTAGGTTACTTGAAAACTATTCAGATATTGAATATCCTATTTGTGATTAATATAATATAGTAATTAGGAAAATAAGGTTCAGTTTCCATGCAATAGTTTTTTTTTTCGTATTTTTTTGGGATTTTGCAGCAAAGCCGACTGTACTACAGTATGGTTTGGTTTATTCTTGTGCTGTATACAATTGCCAAACCATTATTTAAGGGGTTATTGCTATAAAAAAAAATGAGGACCTACATAAAATACATACAGTATATTTACTGTACGGTGTACAGTGTATATTGCTGGTACAGTACATTACCCAATGTTGGGTTTTTCTCCGTGTGTGATGTTTCATTACCTCATGCTTGGTTTACAGTATCACAGGATTGTGGGGTCTCTTGATGATGGTGGGGCAGCAGAGGAATCACCACTATGCTTGGATACCATTGTGTAAAGACTCACAAAAGGAAGATAGAAATAGGAACGGATAGAGCGGGCACTTCACTTGCACCGAACAATTAGTCAATGGAGCCTGAAAGGACGGGGGATGGAAGGATGCAAAAGGGAGGGGGAACATTATGTGTCTTGAGTGAGACTACGTTCTTGTGCATCTGGGGGCCAAAAGGCCATCCCACCTGATTCCCTAGCTGTGTCTGGTGCGCAATTTGAATTTTCAATCAAACCAGCCTTGGGTAAACGAAAATCACCTTCAGAAAAAATAGGTGTAAGAATAGAATATTTGGATAAGCAGATTTGGGGATTGTGATCAATCGGACAGCGAGGGACACCCGTATTATCAAATATAATAAATTACACATTAAACTTATTACTAAACTTGGACTTCATGAATTTATAAACTTTTCTTAAAAAGAAAAGAATATCTACCAACTTCTTAAGATTTTTACAAAAATGACAACTCAAAATTATTATACATGATACATTTCTATGAAGAAATGTGAATAAGTGCAGAGATTCACTTGGAATAGTGTTAGTGTAAGTTGAGTATATGAACCAGAATACAGTGATATCCCCATTAGCCGGAGCAATTGGTGCAGAGCAGTTCCGGGAATGAGAGATTTCCGGAAAACGAGAACTCTCTCAAAGCCGGAAAAAACTCCCCCATCCCCGGAATTTTTCGGGTATCGGGAAAATTTTCTCGGAATTTTCCAGAAAATGTGCCCCCCGGCTTTGGGAACGATTTTCCGAGAAAATTTAAATTCCGGTTCTCGGAGAGTTCCGGGTTTGAGGGATTGCGGCTAACGGAGATATTACTGTATTTGGATAATTATACCTGCAGTGATGGCTGTTTCCTCTCACACTTGTCTTGCATCATTCTCTCTACTGTATTATTATTTCCCTTCTTCTTTGATGTTCTTCATCCACCCTGTATAGTAAAGGGGGAGAGAATTAAAGAATGAAAATAGAAAACATCAAAGCAATCTAAAATAATATTATTCATCATTTGTAATAATTTTTCCTTGCAGATTCACACCACCAAAAGCTCCCACACACCCCATCATTGAGCCAGTTACATCAGCGGCAGACATATTCTCCCCACCACTGTCACTCTCTGTAAAGTCTAGTGACAGGATCATTGAAACCACAAGAGAAGAGACGAGTTCCAACGACGTTACTCTCGGACCAGTAACAGTCGCTCCCAGTACCAAGGTGGAGACCGAAACCAAGTTCCGAAGACCGAATTACGGACCGCCCGACATAACTTATTCCGGAGGTGCCGTCGTGTTAACGGAGATAGGCACCATCGAAGACTCTCCGCAGGACGAGGTTCGACTCATTCTCAACGGACTTGGAGGCCGAAGAAGAGGACTCGGCCGCCCACAAGAAAAGAAGATCCCGCCCCCTGCACCTGCCGCTGCTCCTCTGGCTCTAGCAGCAGTACCAATAGAATATGATTACTATGATGACTATTACTAAGAAGTGTAGCTGTTGCCCACCAGATATTCTCACCTGGATATTGGGTGTTGATTCCAGTATAATGTAAGTCCACACATTTGTACAGATCTCTCAGTTTTCTCGGCATATAGTCAATGTTCAACACCACTCTCTGATAATTTTACATTTGAAATATGTCTTGATATTTCATTGGAATATAATTGTAGTACAGTATAAGGAGTTAAATACTATAGTTAGTTGCCAACATACAACCTGTATATTATAATACAGGGGTTCCAGTGTTGCAAGTCTCATAGACTCTTAACATTAACTTTTTCCCTGAACTGATGATGTAAGGTCACGACAGTACTGTATCATTGTGTTGTATCTTATGTATGCAGATAAAGACACATTCAAGGACCATCTACACAGGTGAAACACTTAACACCTCTACTTTGACAATCCATGGACATAAATCTAGAAACAACATATACTCAAATATACTCAAATTACTTGGTTCCAGACTTGTCATCCGGGAAATTAATTAAATCTGAATAAATAAGGTGTCTCATATGTTGTCACTGTAGGGAAATTAATTTTTGTTTTCAGATGAAACAATAACAAATAAAAAATGATGAGAGAAGTTAACACTAGAAGAAAGAGTAATTTTAATGTTCACAAATGGAAATACTGTAGTCACTACACACCAATCGGTTGCCCCAAAAAGTTTAATCGACAGCACCCATATGTCTGGGTGTTTTCTATTAAAGTCATTTTCATGCATGTGTAGCATCTGGCTTTCTGGACAGAAATATTAAACTCACTCTTTCCTCTAATGATAATGTCTCTGTCATCTTCACTGATTTCTTATTATTCTGTCATCTTAAAAAAAAAAAAAAACATTAATTTTCCTAGTGACAACCTATAGACACTCATAAGACCTATCTATAAGGTGCAGCTCAAATGGACACTACTTCCAGAGGTCCCACCCTAACCTGACCTGACCCAATTGCCATCCTAAAGGTTAAGTTACAGTGGGAACTATTACTACTGTGACCCTTATAACCAGTCATCAGATTTATATAGTCTTTCTTCAACTTGATATTTCTTGATGTTCGAGTGAATGTCCGACAACCGTGTTAAATCACTCGAGCTCATAATAACATCATAATAACATATCAGACTCACTCAGTAATATAGTTGTTCTTTACCTTTATTAGATATACAGGTATCATGATCCTCTCTCTCTTACATATCATGTTATCACAGTTTTAGGATTAGTTTGTTATTTATTTCAAACTAACATTTTCATTCTTAATCTTTGACTTCTATACTGTACAGGGTGGCCAGAATTAGGAGCAACACAGACTCAATACTTTCATATGCTGTCACTCCTTCATACTTATGGGTGAGACACATATACATACAGTGCTCAGTTATGATATTCCCCACAAGATGGCCCTAAATATTGCTTCACACACACACACACTTGGCATCATCCACAGCGGCACATCCAACTCCAAATGCTGTATATACTCGTCTTCTCTGTGCTCTTTGGTCACTTGTGTACATCGCTAGTTCCTGGATGTTGATGCCCCTATCAGCTAGACATACATTAGCTTCTAGTTATAAATGAGTGGGGCCAATGCCAGAGCTTTTAAACACATTCAATTCATCATCAGAATAATAAACAATAAAACACAAAATGAAGATAAAATTACAATAAAAAAATGCTTTTTATAATATACTGTACTGGGACCTTACATATAGCACTTTCCTCTCTACATAATCTGTGAGATGAGGGTTTCACATCTAATGGACCCTCGATATAATGGACTTTTATCTCCATATACTCTGTTAAATAAAGGTTTCATTGTATATTACTGGGAATAAAATAACAAAGATATGAATATTTAGTGGCGACTGAGCATCACCCAACATGAACCACACTGCAGTTCCTGGTGAGTGCAGGGCATCACCACCTGCTGGACAATACTTCCCATCACTGACTAACACTAAACTACCAAGAATCAGGTTAGTACTTATTACAGGGTTTTCAAAATGTTTTATCTCAGGACTCAGGAGGTATTTTGTTAATAAGTGGGTGGTGGTCGTCAACAGTGGATGGAGGCATGACTCACTTCACCAGAGACAAGTTTAAGTGGGATAAAATACTTCACTCTTTGGTTGTGAAGTAAATAGAAACATTAAATCAGCAAATTGTTGATATTTCTCTGATTATATAAATGAAGATTTTGTGCTGGGGATAAACTGGACCACTGGTTCAGATGTCAATGGAGTCAGTCAAGTTTGCTGACAATTGGTTCATGATGGAACTTTAAACTGGGCATTGAGTCTTAAATACTATACACTACTATCATAAGTTGTTAGAGAAGGAGTTCATGTAATATAATATAACCCGCCTCTGTGTATCGTATACTGTCGTGTAAATCTCGCATAGGTTTAAGGGTACAGTACGGTACACTATATATTCCAAAGGTCTGGGGACCTGTATCTTGCCACTAGAGTATCTGGGATCTATAGCAGTTTAGAACATTGTTAAGGCAATTAGTAACAAGTTTTATATAAAGTAAGATATAGTTTTGTTTCTCTCCGTTCATCTGTGTCTTATAAACTGTTGTGAGGTCGGCCACTTGGGTCAGACCTCTCGTGTGACTCTCCATCTCTTATATCCTTTATAGCAGTACCATTTATACCACTACTTAATGGCTATATCATTACACAGTGCCTTATGTATTTAAAAACATTATCATGTTCTTATACATCAAAGCTCTACTGAGATACTGATTTTCTGGATACAGTTTTGATTAAATATGAAAACTTCTACCAAACTCCTATTACACTGAATCCTTGAACCTCATAAGATATACAGTAACAGTCATATTTAAGGGTTCAGATCAGGGGTTCAATGTTGGCATGATGCTGTTTTTGGAATGTATGTCTGTGTTGTGTGTGTAATAGTGTACTATGTGTGTGTGTGTGTGTGTGTAAAAAACATGTTTATAGTGTGTAGTGTGTAGAATTACTCTAATCCACATACTGATCAAGAATAGTTCTGGCTATTGTGAAAATATAATTTAAATAAAAGCAAATTTAAGTTTTCATTATTCTTTAGTGTGATTCAGTCATTTCTGTAAGAGATTTAGGAGTTTGGTAAAGACTTTCAGACCTGACTTAATCCAAAATTGGAAATTCATTGGCCTTGTATGACTAATCAGACCTCACTGATATTGTTATTGGAAATGAAAGTCTTTTACAGTACATTATGGAACACTTTATCCAGCTCAATGATATACTCTATCTATAACATGGTGCTTGGATTATATAACCCTTGAACAGCGGCCATCATTGGTGGGAATTATTTGCAGGGATGGGCTAGGGTTAAGAAATAATATAACTTCCATTTTTAAGTGAAACACTAGTGAAAAATATGAATGCCCTCAATAAATGAATAACAGAGGCAGTGTATGATATGTGGTTCTTCATTATACACACATTTATGATCGAGGATGGCTGGGCAGATGGGCAGTTGCTGGTACTGATTCTCAACACTCAGCAGGTAGCTACAATAGGAAGCTTGAACATCAAAGGGTAGTATTTTCACCATCAAGGAGTTCACTTAATGGGGATATAGTACAGTACAATAGTGTAAGGCCAAGTGTGCAAGCAAGGACCCAGCCAGCTCTATGTACAAATTTCTTCACTTGTGGGTCAACTCTCTGCCACTCAACTTTGGAATCATTTGAAACAGTAAAAATATAACAATGATCACTTTAATTCACTGACAACAAAGAAGAAAGGCACTGTATAGGAATCTTTTATAATCATTCATTGTGCAGTGAAATTTCTATTAAACAAACTAATATGTGAAAGGTTAATAGTACATACATTAGACCAAAGTTCGATAAATATGAAACTTCCTTCTAACGGACAACTGTATATGAGAGAGGGTAGTTTGTTATATATGAAACCTCCTTCTAATGGACTATATATACAAGACGTTAGTTAATTAAATCAAAGTCTGTTATATGGAGGTTTCATTGTACTACTGTAATGATTCAAAACATAATGGTGACCTCGTAAAATACTTTCATGTCATATTTCAATTTCTTTTTTTTATTTTCCTTCGCAATGAACTTGTACGTACGTTTATTAGCACAGATTATGTATTTGTTGCTCTGTCCTTCTCAGTAACTTCATGTGATATTATGTGGCATTGTATTAATAAAGAGTATTTACAAATGTTCTCGTATACAAATAATTCCTCTACGTTTGTATTTTTCTTATTGTGGTGAAGTGTTTGAGAATGATCGAAGAGTGTGTTGCGGAACAGTGTGTTGTGAAAGAGTGCGTTGCAGAAGAGTAACTAAACCATACTGCTAATACAATGTACAATAACAAAGATATTATGTCTAACATCATCCAGGAAGGCCTTAACTCTTATTGTTAATACCTGATGCAGTAACAAAGTCTTTAATCCACCTGTGTGTGTGATCAAGCAGGGGGGTCTTATGACATGTAAGGAATATGGACGGCCAGGAGCTAATAATACCACTCCTATAGCCAATATATTATCAATTTGTGTAGGTTCTCGCCGAAGGTTTAATCCCGTTCATCCGTATCATCACAAGACACTAAAAACACACTGTTGTATCACCATCCCTCACCCTATTGATGACCAAGAGCCGATAACTAAAGTACAATAACAAACACTTAACAATACTCACTAAAGTTGATGCTGTATGAAGATTTAGTCCTACTTTTCCACTGGTGAAGATATAATGCTGTTACTGCTAACTTTGTGAAATACACCAACGAGTAAAAGTCCATCACAGGCCAGAGATGCTGATGATAGTACTGCCATAAGCACTGGGACAAGCAGCAGTCTTCAATATTACTCCATACAGATCCAGGTCCTTGTGGTGTCTGGCCAGCCACAGTGTGTAATGCACTCATGTAATATTAATAAGACACAAACAGGTACAGTACTTACCCTTTACTTACATAACAATAATTACAAAATATTTACAAAACTCTCAGCCCTCCACTTAATTTTCAACACTTTATTAAATAATAGTACCGGTAAACAGGTTTATCTATATACAGTTTATACAATCATGTAATTATTCACATAATACATACACTACACTACATGGACAGACCACATCTTGTGCTCATAGTGTAAGAACACATAAAAGATGCTGAATCTGTATTGTTTTAGTACAAGAGTCTGTCCTCTGGTGTGAAAGTTCCATTAATACAAAATAAATTATACTTGAAAATTTACCTCAGGTTGTTCACCAAATTTTAAATAATTACAAAAGTCCCATTTATCCATTGCAAGATTTATCTAAAAAAATTATTATTATTATTAGTTCTTTTTTTATCATTGTTACCCCGGTACTTCTCCTCACTCCTGTGTGGGGTGGATCAAAGGAAAAGAAAAACTTCAAAGAAAAGGAGAAATAACAGTGAGGAAAATGGAACACAAGTGAAGACAATAGACAAAAGTTTCTGAACACACACCTGATCATATCCTCAACCAACCCATGGTGGCTAAGGACTTCCCCTACAGCCATCCCTACAGCTAACTTCCACTGATGATGGCTGCCATCTCTACAGCTAACTTCCACTGATGATGGCTGATGTCTCTACAGCTGACTTCAATTGATGATGATTGCCATCCCTTCAGCTAACTTCCACTAATAACGGCTGCCATTAAATAGTTAATATTTAAAAAACTACAAAGATCATAATCCTACAGTTTTCCCAATATCTATTATTCATTTTTTATCTTGGGGAGACAACACACTCAGGTCCAGTTTCTCCAGCTGATCAACAAGTTCCATGTGCTTGAACTGTTCCGGGGCCTCATGGAACTTTTGCAATAGAGCAGTCTTGGTCTTGTTTCCTCCGCCATAGTAAAGCTGAAGCTGATTCACCAGGAACTGAGCTTCAAAGGCATTCTGGCAGCAAAATACAATTGATGTGAATAACTTTACTCCTGTTCAGTTATATCTCCTTATTGTTTTGTGCATACAGTATTTATCATTTATAGATCTCAAGATGATTAGGAACCACTGTTTCTTTAACCTGATGATTAAACACCCTAATACTAACCTAACCTAACCTCAGATAACTTAATCTAATACTGCATAACCTAACTTAATCTAATCTAACATAACATAACCTAACCTAACAAAAACTATCTCCCCCCCCAGAGGTAGTGCATTTAACCATCAAGTGAATTAAGCAGTGGTTCCTAATCCTCATGAGATTAACATAATACAGGTTGACAATCCATTATCCGAAATCCTTGGGGCCAGAGGCATTTCGGTTTTCGGAATTTTTCGGTTTTCAGAATGGTTAGGGTTTTTTTTTTTTTTAATGTGTATTAGCCCACCCGGGCATAGATCACTGACCCACATTGGGGCCTGGGGGTCTAAAATATAATAAAAATTATAATAATAATAATAATAATTCATAGGTCTAGGTCGTGTTTCTTACTTTTGATCTTTTTTTCATTCTTGTATTCCTTTACTGTATTATTATTTTATGATTACAGTATTATTGTTATTATTATTATTATTAATTTTATTATTATATTTTATTATTATTATTATTATTATTATTATTGTAATCATTATTATTTTATTTTGGTGTATAATTATTAAAAATTTTATTTACTATGAATAATTATTATTATTATAATTATTATTACTTTTACATTTTTGCCCCCCAGGCCCCGATGTGGGTCAGTGATCTGTGCCTGGCTGGGCTAATAATCCCTGAAAAAAAAAAAAAAAAAAAAAAAAAAGCCCCACAAAAAACTTTCGGTTTTTAGAGCTTTTCGGTTTTCGGAATTTCGGATAAGGGGTTGTCAACCTGTATTTATTTCATTTACAGCAAAGATCATCTTGGGATTTGGTCAAGTAAGGTCAAAAGGCCTGGGTGACTAAATCTTATGGAGACACTTCAACAAATGGTGGAGTGAATGTAATGTACAATATTCATAATGAAGCTCCATGAACGGTCTGACCAGGATGATGGAAAAGATTAACATTATTATTATTATCATCATCATCAATTTGCTGATTCATTGCACCTGTATTTTCAATGTTACATTTGAATTACTGTGTTCAGATGATACACAACACTTTATTTTGTACTTAGCCCCTTCGTTACGGGATGCCACCTATTGCCACTATGCTATTTAATTAACACCAGACAATTTATTCAGCTCAGAGGGGGTCCATATACAGTACAAGTGATTAATACCTTATCCTCTTTGCCACTGCTCAACTCTCTAGACAGTTGGGTGGTCAGTCATTTCTCTGTTAAACATTGTCATCTGCACTAGCTCTAGAATTTACCAGAACATGATAACGTTTAGTAGCATCACCACACTCTCTGGCAACGCAGTAGCCAGTACTTCTTCCAACCTAACCACATACAGTACATAAATGATAAACACATTGCTGTCATCAATTCTTACACAGTTCCATGACACACAAATCCATTCTTACATAAATTGGCTACATAACTGGCAAAAGTACTGTACTTCAAACTATACATCAACTCAAATTGCCTACTATCATTATATTGAGTAAAAACACAACAAAACTGTACACTTACGATTGTGTTTTTGTCATAATCGCCATGCATGAAGACAATACCTCGTTCTTCCTTGAGGTCCGGATAGTGTACCAATGTGAGACACTCTGGAGCGTCCTCTCGGTGTGCCTGTAATGGAAATTATTATAAGAAACAACAACAACTAACTTTATCTAACCTAACCTTATCTATTTACTTGAGGGAGTGAAGGGGAGGAGATCCAGCATTGTGGCCCATGTTTCACCACTAGCCAGTTTGGGATTGGGGGGAAGGGGGGCATCTGCCTTTATTTGAGTTAACAGGTAAAAATTCCTACAACACAAACATAATTAGACAACAATTTACAGAGGGAAAAGCATCAAGTATTAGTAACACTTATTTCTAATGTGGTCCTTGAAATGATAAAAAAACCCTAACCTCACCTTTTACTAATACAGTACATGTACAGTAATAACAATATACATGGTGACCATCTTATAAACCCACTATCTTAATGGAATACTTGATGACTCAATACTAGCTGTTACCCACTCTGTATATTCCTCAAGTCTCCACCAGATGGACAAAATATAATAAACTTTCACAATTTCATTAACAAATTTTATCCTCTCACCTGATAGTTTATGAGAGAAGTGAAATGCACCTCATGAGCAGCAAACTGTGCAACAATAAACTCGTAGCCTTTATCTCTTGGTAGTGGGAAAAGGAACTGAAACATATAAATATACAAATAAAAATCAATTAAATCTAAAAGACACCAACAAAAAATTATTACATGCTAATATTCACACAATACCAAACTATATAATGAAATACTTTATTAATGTAAAGGCCAATACCGTACTGTACCTACAGTACCTGAAATACTTGTGATAATCATCTTAAGCGACAGATTTTGCTGTGGGAGAAGTTGGTTCATATTGCTGTACAGTTCAGGTAAATTGTAACAAAAGTCAGGCCAAATAACAACTATTTTGATAATACAGTACTCCAGTCCCCTTGCTGGCTGGACAATAGGCATGTTATGATACTAACAGTCTCCTACAACAATAAACTCTCCCACACCCATAGCAGTGGTTACTTACTGTTGTATACTTAAGAGCTGTTTCATGTAGTTTATCATATGTGGCAGCAGGAATAACTGCACTCACAGCATCTTTGTGTCGGAAATGTTCTGTCCAAATCTGGAAAACAAATAACATTATAACACACCCCTAAAACTAAATAAATAAATATATGGTCCTCAAATAATAAGTTCTACATTGGTAGTGTTGTGTGGTTTGTACAGGTGTTGACGCTTCATTTTGTTTGTTGTAGTAATATTGTAGATGTATCTAAGCTGTCAACTGATGAAGACTTGGCTATTAATCTTTAACTGGCAGCTGACTCTCCCCATTAGGGTAAATATAAAATACCTGTAAAAATTACATGTAATTTCCACAAATGATAGCCACCGTCCCTAAAGCTAACTTCCACTGAAGATGGCCACCGTCCTTACAGCTATTGAATTACTATATTAATTTTCAGGACAGGACTTTTGATAATAAATTTCCTGGTGTACAAATACAGAATTAGTAGGAAAGAAAAGAATAAAACTTGCAGACTTACATATTTAATTTCATCATTGTGTTTGTCCTTCAGGAGGTCCATCTTCATTACACTTTCAAGTTTCTGTAAAAGAGAGATTAATTCTTGGCAGTGTTAAAATATTGTACAGTATATATATATATTTAGAGCAATGATTCCCAAACTGAAGGGGGCACGAGGTTGGTACAGTGAAATGTGAGATTCTAGCACTCAAAACCCCTGCTCGCCCTTGACAAGTACTTCCTCAGATACCGTACAACATTTTGAGAATTCTCTTTAACGAAGAATTAAACAAATGACTGGGTCTAAATTCTGATAGTTCTTTCTATTGAATGAAGATGAAACAGATGACTGGGTTTTACCTTCTGGGGAGTGAAGCCATAAGCACCTTTAGATGTGGTCTCTTTAGATTTCTTAGCTACTTCAGTAAACCCGTGACCACCTGGCTGACTCTTCTTTAATTCTTTATGCTTAGCAAATTTCTCTAGGAATTCTTCTGGAGATTCTCTGTGAATAATGTAAACAATCTTAGATATCTGATCAATCAAAATACTGTATAGATTTAAACGTTAACTATGATGACCTCAGGATGACAGGTCTTTTTGTATACAACTGCAAGACTTTTCTCAGAAGGTTGGGAGGAATGGAACTCCTGCTTGTGTCACCTGATGATAGCTAGATGTCCTAATGGAAATCTAACCAAACTTACAATACAGTACATGCCCAGTACTGTACGTGCCAACAGTGTGTAACAGAGATGTGACTGATCGCCCAAGTGGCTAACAAGTAGATAGGTGACAAAGAGGATAAAAGTAAAAAGTAAAGTAGTAAAAATAACATACTGTAATCTTATCTAACCTGATCAAACCTAATCAAATCTCACCAAACCTAACCTCCCTATATGGCATCAGGTTGGTGAACTAACCAGGGTTCGTAAGCATTATGAGATCCCATGACAGTATATTTTTTAAAACTGGTTAAATATTCCACTTAGTATTACAATTATAATACAGTACATAGCAAAAGGCACTGTACTGTAATATAGTATGAACTCTTGAGAGATATATTGTACTGTACTGCAAATCATACAGTACAGTAATTACAATAATGAAACAATAAAAATATGAAAACTGACTCACTTCTGCAACATGGCGATCTTGCCAGCATACTTCTCAAAGTAAGGGTTCTTCTCCAGGTCTTCTATGGCCATCACCATGGCATAGCTGGAGGTGCTCACAGGCTGTTTACTCATGATGGACCAAGATCTCCGCCCTAACAGACAACAACCACGACTCAACCGATTCATTACCGATGTAGCTAATCTGCCAATGACAAAATGAGACATTAACTATATGTACTCCAGTAGAAGAATTAACTACTGCATATGGCTGATCGGTAAGTTCCTACTAACGCTATTTTACCGTGAGTGTGCTCTGATTGGTTAATCGTCCATTACTGGCGAACAATGCAAGAACTATATTTGAGTGACCGGCAGCATTTGGCATTTATTTAGCCATGAGTCGATCATTGTGTAGCTGTAAACATACCTAACCATATTTCTGTTGTGCATAAAAACTTATCATTATAAAAGAGGCAACATTTAATAGAACCTAATAGAACCTGACCTAACCAACCAAAGAAACCTACCTAACCGTACCTAACTTCCTAGCCGGGGGACAGACCCCTTGCCATATTAAACAGAAAGTACTTAATCATCAGAGAGCACTCATGGTAAAATAGCATTAGTAGGAACTTAGCCGGTCACGGCAAAATATCCATAATTATAAGTACGGATCATAAGGTTTAATATGCCAGGGCAGCTAAAAAGTTAGGTAGGGTTAGGCAGGTTTCGTTGGATGGTAATATTGGTTAGGTTAGGTTCTATTAGGTTCTGTAATTTGTCATATAATTCTTATTACTTTCTATTATCCATAGAACATCTGTGGGAAAAAAATTATGAAATCGAACAACTCCTTCTGGTGTTAGCCATCTGCTCCAACTTTACCAAACTATATTTACCAAAGTTGTGCCGAGGAGAAAATAACACAACAGACGAGGATTTTGACAACCCTACCGAAGCAACAGGAGTCAATGTTCATTCTGAAATTCATTGATCATCTCCAAAGGAAAGATAAATTTCTGAGTGACTGGTACACGTGATTAATAAGAAAAGAATATGTTGGTGAAGAGGATAAAGAAGACGGGGGAGTCTAGGGTACATTATACGAAGAAAAAACAACTTGGGGTCAGTCTTAAGGTTAAATTGTATTACCTTACCTTACCTAACAAATAACCTGACAGATAAGTAAAAATTAACTCAGATAAGTGCATAATAAAGTACTGAAATTATAAATACGAAATTAACAAAACACAAACATTTCCTTTCCCAGACATTACCATTAATACAGGTGTTGTCTGTCACATATAAGGTGATGATATAAAACTTCAACAGTCACAGATAATGAAACAACACCATCATAGTCTAACTACTGTAATTAATAACAATACTACAACTCGTGCTCACCTACACCTCCTGAGCACCGAGAACACGATAATGTAATAAAAGTCTATGTTACGATTAATATTAATATTCATGTGTGTAATTTTAGGTTTTCTGTTAAATATTAAAAAAATGGAGGTGAAAGAAAAATTAAAAAATTGAGAATTACAATTCATCATAATGGTTTATATAACCCTAATGGAAGTATAGAACCAAACATTTAGATACGTATTCTGGTAGGAATTCTGCTATGTAAAATGTATTCTACAGGTTTTTGATGCAATAAATTCGATATCCTTGTAAAGAGCACGTATATTTTTCTTATTTCAAAGAAAGATTTGAGATTTTGAGTTTTAATATTTGAACAACTATCACTTTGGCAATGCAGACGACCAATAGCCTACCATCGTTTCTACTGTAATGGAAGACCAATTAATCCTTTTTCTTGCAATATACCGGGTAGGTCTATGTTCTAATTGAGATAAAATTGGTAAAAATAACTGTTTTCTTTTATGTACTTTTAGTATGCTAAAATATATAAAACATTTAATTTGAATTTTGAAATGCGGCAAGTGCCTGGCAACTTGTTTATTACATCAGTCTCTCTTACTTTTACGCCCGTATTATGAAACAACATCTACCCTCTCCGACGAAGATTCTTTTCGAAGGGATTGTTCTTTCAAGCGGTATTTTCAAATGCTTGAGCCTCTTCTACTTCGTGTGGGATGAGTAATTTAGGTCTGGTAATACTGTCCACTTCGCTGATGCATTATGGGTCCTGTGTTTCTCTTTACCTTCGTTGGCGCCAAAATTAATAGTATACCTGCTCTCGTCATGGACATTTTTTCCTCCAAAGTATCCAGGGCAAGTCCCATATCACAGAGAGAATGGGATGGTGACCTACCTATCTCTACCTACACCGCCCGTTCTGCCTCACAATGTGCTCTCTGTATACATGTTGTATTGGATGTACAATGCAGCTTGGTGCTGGGAAGGCAGCATGATAACAAGCATTGAGTAGAGAGAGCTGGTTGGTGAGGGTGCTCAGAGGAGGACAGCTTGTGGGTCGCCATGCTCGCCGGCGGGAGCGAGGGCCTCCAGGCAGCGGCGGAGGAGGTGGTGTTGCTTGCTGCGGCTGTAGCTAGAAGAAGAGAGGTAGGTCACCACGAGGTCAGGTCTTATATAGCGGAGGTAGGCGTGGCTTAATAGTTGACCTCCGTCATGTAAGGCGGCGCTGGTTGACCTAGACCACGAGGCATACACTGGGGAATTCGCGGGGTCGGCTACTCAGCGACAAACAGCGTTTGTAGGGGAGGTATCCACTACAGTATACTCAAGAATGGTGTGTGGTAATGTTTCAGAAATCTTATGTAGCCCAAGTACAGTACAATATATCGACTACACATAAAAACTGTACTTTTTTATATAATTAACCCGACCCCATCAATATACACGGAGTATTACTTCTTCCTCTATTTTCTACATTGTCTTGCATTATTCTTTTCTTTATTCCAGTTGTGTAACTCACCAACATGAGGGTTAATGGATAAGTTAAATTCTGCAGCAATAGTTTCATGTTTTACTGTAACCTTCACTTCTTGCAGGTGAACAAATACTCAAGTTACTTACAAGGTACAAGAAGAATCTATGTATAGTCATTCCATAGCAGGTATTGGTATTCCTAATATATGAGTTACCTTAAACATGGATAATTATTCTTGCATATTATAAAAAGAATATATTATTAACCTTTGTTCATTTCCCGAAAGTATTGTACATGGTAGACATAAGCTATAAATAAAATACATAAAATAGACTATACTGAGAATATCCTTCCACCTTAACTATCCACCATTTTCTAAATTAAAAAATATCAATCAGACTCACAAGGGAGGAAGTAAATGTAATACCAAGTGACTAACAAACTACTCATAAAAAATTGCACAAAATTGCTCACATTCTCACAAAGTCCTCACCTTAGAGGCATGACAAAATTAATAAGCGGTGACCTTGTGATCAGTAATGACCATCCTAGCCCACATCATGAAGACTCACTCAAAATAATGCTACTCAACCTGTAAAATATAAATCAGTTGGGTTTTGAATAACATTAATAAACACTTTATAGTAGAGTACTAACAAGTATTCCATGACAAAATAACAAGTCCAAACAGCTGTAAGTTTGGTAATGGACTGAATCATCAAGTGAGTTCTGCCAGCTGTCTCCCTTAACATGATACCAAACTTAGGTTGACTCAAAGCCATTTACATCTGTTCTGTACACAATGAAATTTTTTTCAGATAAAAGCATAGTTTCCACCGAAAAAGTTTCAGGTCAATAAAAAAAAAGGCTATGATTATTCTGAGATGTTGCAACACTTAAAAACCAATAGTCAATTGACCTCAAGAATATTCTGAGATATTACAACACTTAACAACAAATCACCTCTGAGTACTGTACTGGCTGTTAAAAGTCAAAACTGGGTTGAGTTTATCTAACACAAATACTTAAATCAGCACAGGACCTGATGTATAAGACTTGTAGCTATAACAGAGTTGTGAGTAGAGTAGGTCTTGGGCTCACTCTTGGACTTCGTGGTCTTGGCTACATCACTTGAGTGGACTTCATGGGTCAAGAACATCTCAAAAGATGAACCATTTTTAAATACTTTCCTCCATGTGGTAATTTAATACATAAAACAATCATACTTTCCTCCAGGTGGTAATTTAATACATAAAACAGTCATCTTTAAGGACTTTGGAAGAATTTAGTAAATAATGTAATCATCGTGAAAGTGATAGACTTTGCACCTTGATGACTTTAAAAATAGAAGATCACAAATTTTGGGCTGCAGTTCATATAAACAAACCGCTAAAATTGGTTGCCTATCAGAACTGGGCCCAAATGATAATATTCGGAAGCCTTAAATGAAAGTTAAGAGTAATGAATCACAGAATAATGTTGGCCTTGATGCATCTAATAGCTAAGGATATTCACCTATATACTGTACTGGACAATACAATACACAAGATACCAATGTTGAAAAAAGACCAAGAGATGGACTACTAAACCCTTATTTTCTCCTTGAAGGTGACGTCACCAACTTAACTATTCTCGGGTAATTATGGTTAGTTCATCACCCGGTGAATATAAGGTTTAGTGGTCATGTTTGTGAGGCTCTTTTTTTACCACTGATTATTTTGTGTGAAACTAAAAGTGTGAACATTTGTTCCATAACAATAAAAATATACAAGAAGCTTTTGAAATACCCAGTGTCTCAGAAAAATGTACACACACACACACACACATATACACACACAGATTCTCCCAGAGATCACAAGAACGATTGTATTACAACAGCAAGATTGTCCTTGCTTGTTGAGGCGACGTCTCCCACAAGTGAGGACAATGTTGCTTTTGTTATAGGAGCATTCACACTACCTCCACAAAAACCTGTAAGGCAGCGTGTATACATTTTTCCGAGACATTACAAATGTATGGAGAATAATGAAGGCTGTCTACAACCTGCACATTTATTAAAGACCACAAAGAGAGCTAATATTGACTGACTCCTTCATCAGATGTAAGAACTGATCACTTCACACAACAGTTATATATATACAGTACTGTACTGCATAGCTACCTACCCATATGTTTAATGGTTGCTCGGCATGGAAAAGACTGCCACTTAGAGATTTCTCTTAATATTTACAAGATGATCACACACCATGAGCTTCACACACTGCAGTTACCAAAAAGTATGTTTATATGGTACAAGTAGCAAAATACACCATGTGGAGATGGCCCCCAATCATAATAGGCCCCCAACCTAACCTTACCATGCTGATAGGCCCATGGAGAAAAAACTACTCTCCCTTAAGACTGGGCCTTGAAACTTATTTCTATTAACAGGGGTCCCTTACAGCTGATGTCCATTAAAACTGAGCCTCAGCATTAATGGTTAAGTTAGGTTAGGTTAGATTAGGTTAGGTAGGGTCCCAGTAGGTATGGGGCCTATTCAGACTGGGGCCCAGTTGACCAGTAATCATGAAAATAGAGTATAAGGCCTATGTCTAGTGGTCATGTGTACATTCATAACATCAAACAAAGATGTAATGTTATTCATTCATCTACTGTACTAATTACTGGTACTCTTATAAATGGAAATCAGGAAAAATGGTCATATTCAACAATAATAAGTTATTGGGATTGAAGATAAATTTCTTATTCCTTCACTTTGTTTCATACATCTAATACAATGTGAATACAGTAATACATTTGTACCCTGAGAACCAGCATACAGATAAAAAATATGTTAATGATTTAGGTGTCTGGTGTGCCATCCACAGCCAAGCCAATGTCTCTTTCTGTATAGGACCCAACATCTGACACCAACACCCACCACATTGCCTGATAAGGGCTACACATCCCTGGTTTAGGACCTGCAGCCTTCTATGACAGCTGATTTTTAAATACATTTATCAAATAATTAAATAATTTACTCCAAAAGTTAAATCAAACACACTACTCAACCAATTCCAATTCTACGTGACTGATGATGTGATTGTCATTGTATAAAACTACAGAAATGAGCCAAGAACTAATATATGAGACATTTATTCCAATGAGCAAAGAGGTAAAGTATGTAAGACTTTTCACATCTTATGATCATTTCTTTTATTCAGTATTTTATCACATACTAACACTCACTAAGTGAGAATCCCAGAACTTTAATGTGTATTCAACACAATTTCCCAATCTACACAGTACTGTACACTGTTAGTGGTGATGAACCATCTTAATGGGGCGTTACTAGGTAGTTACTCTGTTAATAAAGTACAGTACAAGAAACCTAGGTTTTATTAAAAAAAATTATCACCACTAGTTCCCAAACCAACAGCCATGATTAAATCATCAGCTACAAATGACCTAACAAATAAACTCTGCTGTGCTAGCACCTGTAACAACCATTACAAGTCACACAAGTTGACAGATTGTTGGATGTTCAGCAAGCTATATCAACAAATTCACAACCACCAAATACTGTAACTTCTACAAAATGTAAATGTTGTAATGGACATCATAAATGGGCAGAGCTTATAGGCAAGTCAGTTCTCAAAATGCGAAACTTGATAAAAAGGCAACAGTGGGGAGTATCTACTGCAGTATCTTGCTGTGCAGACATAATAAAGGTTAAGATAAGTGGTGCAGCCATAAACTAAGGGACTGAGTAAACAGATACCCATTTTCAAGCAGCTTGAGTTCAAAGATGTCTCCTGCTAGTGTGAAGTGTCTACAGCACTTCACAGCAAGATGTAAATCTTCTGTTTCATCTTCACCACATACTGTACTCCACGTCATCACTGTCGGCCATGATGAAGAAACCCCAAATGGTTAAAAACGATACCACATTTCCTGCCAGAACTAGTCCACAAGCTCCCCACTGAATCTAGAAAAAAGGTAAATTGCATTAATATTTCTTACATAATATGTAAAACACCAAATATTAATCATAGAGGGACAGCAGGTAATATCAGCATCATAAAGTAACTGTAAGCTAAAATGAGCGACCCCAGCCACTCCTAATATTATCAACCTTGCAACATATACAGGTACTGTCATTTGTTCTTTCCTACTGCCTTTATATGAGTGCTCTGTCTCCTTCCTTTACTGCTGTTGTTTTATACAGACAATGTTCACTATTTTATCACATTACTGAAGTGTCATGAAAAAAAATTCCCCATAAGGACCATCCTATCTATTTCACAACTAAGGTTCTTAAGTCTTTTAGTACTGATACTACAATCATCATCATTATCATCGTCATCACCGAATTATGGCCATTTTACATGCTTGTGTATGTTTGCTGTGATCACCAATGGCATGGTGTCTCAACTGCTATCAGGCAACTCCATTTTACAGTGGGAACTGGGCATCATATGTAGGATCTCCTGTGTATCCTTAGCTGACAAGGCAGGTCGCTATTCCCTGTCACTACTAAAAATTGTTTTTACCACGACTCCCTGAATTTATCAAAATGGAAACAAGCACTACGGTAGTAATGAGAAAAACCCGAGGAAGACAGCCTACATCAAAATATCTGTAAGTTTTAAACAGACTATTATTTTGGGCGTACTAAAGTAGTTAAACACATTAATTTTAAGTTACAAGAGGTTTTTGGGGGCTGAAAGATCACTTAGTGGTAAAGTTTAATATAAAATATTACTCCACCATTCCCTCCCTTAACCCATACAGTCAGAGGACATACATCCTCTGGTGTACTGATTGGTTTTATAGATAGTACCTGGCTGTTAGAACTAAGAGACAGAAAGGTGGAGTACTACTGTATAATCTGGAAAGAATGAGGTAAAGAATAAGTAGAGGCCAAGAGCAACACATGCCGTCAAGGTGGGCTGAAGGCTCTCAAGTCAAACACTCACTACTGGCTGCGACACAGGCGATCTGGCTAATACGATGGGAAGACCAAATGCAGAGACGACGAGGACAGCTGTGACAAAATAGGCCATCTCTCTGCAGGGGTTGCTCCCTCCCGTGTCCTCTGACAGTCTGCGAGCTATGATGATTGGTACCGGAGCCAATACATAGAACATGAGCACGAAGAACGGCCACCAGTTACTGTGTGATGGAGAGAAGGCAAGATATCAGTGTACAGTGGGGTATGCTATAACAAATGGATCCTACTACGAATATTCCTGTAACGAACAGTTTCACCTATAAAATTGAGAATGCTATAACGAACGAAACTCCTACAACGAACATTATTTAAAAAAAAAAAAATTTTTTTTTACTAATTTATTGTTTTTTTTATTACAAGTATTAATGATATTCTTTATTTCAGGGGTTTAGATGCATATTTATGCACTTTTTTACAATTTTTTCAATTTTATATTATATTTTTCAGTGTTAAGTGGTTGTATTTGGGGGCCTGGAACGGATTAATCCTCTAACGAACGAATACTATAATGAACAAGGAATATGTAATGGTTATATTACAAACTTAGTGATTGAAAGAGAAATATAATAGTGATAAAGATGTAGAGAAAGAGAGAAAATATTACATGTCATATTCTCTGATAGCTACAGTAAGACCTGATAGATATTTAAAGAAATAAAACACTGCTACAAGTTTTACCTCCTGTCAATATCTTTGCCAAAAAATATGACATTTCAGATAATGTCAAGTACCATCAGTAGCTACAACAGTCATCCCTTATTAACTATTTCTGTCGTACACAAGGTATGGTAATCTGACTAACAATTATCCAACTGAGAAGTACAAGTTGAACCACAAAAATACTCACTTGAACTCTGGTAAAGCACAGGCCAGTATCAGGAACATGAGGCCTATCGAGGCTGAAAATGCCAACGTCACCAATGCTGGAAAAATAAACATGACACACTGCTGTACATTACAAAAAGTGCATCTGGGAATTTGTGTACCACAATCTTTTATTTTATTTTTTTAAGTAAATAAATAAAAGTTTGGCTGCTGCTGTACATAAAAGGAGGCCAACTGAGATAAAAACTCAGATTATCAAATCACCTTTCTTTTCCTTAATTAGCCAAAACAAACATTATGAATTATGACAAACTCAACTCTAACGTAAACTTTATCAAGATTCATTTTAAAACATATTAAACGTATGACTGTATAAAAAATAAAAATAAATTGATAAAAGTATGACTACAAGAAACATAAAAGAAACACACTTACTGTACCGCCCTAACACTTAATATACAGGGTATCTAAAAAAAAAAAGAAGTAAATGTACACATTACCTTAAAGGTTTATTTATGGAGACCATGTGAATATTTGTACTGTATCAGCTACAATAGCAACAGTGTCCTTACATAACAGAGGCCTCACACACCAACAAGTGAGGGCCAGGTTGCTGTTGTAATATATTACGAACATTCACACGATCTCCAGGAAATATGTAGCGTGTATTCACTTTTCCGAGACATCCTGTAGAAACACACTTACAACCCCCAACATTTAATTAACCACAATAAAAGCCAAACAATTAAAATATGACCAATGCTAAGTTAAGGGTAGTTAGCTACTAGTTTAAAGGTGACAAACAGATGCTGTGAAGTATTATTACTAGATGCCTTATACTTGATGCAGGTCTCCAACTGTGTACCAACAAGATGGGTCTATTCTCTCTTTCTCTCTCTCTCTCTACTAGTCTAAGGTCATCTCAGCTTCATTAATATACATGTCCAACAAGGTTTACTCACTGTTCCATTTCCCTCTGTCACTTTTATCACTTTATGAACTGAATCTAAATTGTACATTGTGGGTTTTGGTAACAGGTTGTGTATGAATGATCAGCGGGGTAGAGCGGAAACACCTCCCCGAGAACCATCCATGAGGCACACAATAAAAAACTTTAGCTAAATAAGAAAGAGGCAGAAGAAACCGAACATTTACCCAGTGTGGATATGTTAATACAGTAGGTTACAGTACAGTATACGGACACTGTATTTTCATTCTATGTTTTCACTGCACTTGGTATGGCTACAACAGCTGCTGCAAGCTAGCTCTTATACACACACAACCAAACCTAACCAAAATTAACCTAAAACTAGGTTACGGTACTGTATATGAAGTTAGGGTCATCTACTTATAGAGAAATAGAATGGGTTTCTTCTTTGCCCAGTTGACATTAATTTTCCCACATCAACCATATTGTTCAATATAGTACAGTACATCTACAGTATATTAGTATCACTCCACACAGTCTACACACACGATCATCCCACAACTCTACTGCACTCTGGTCACTTCAGTCCTCACTGTACCTTTCATATTCATGTTGAGGAGACACTGATAATCCACGTAAATGGAAAAAGTTGACGAAGATCGGATTAGTACGGGAATTAGAAATCACGTAGATGGTGACTCAATCCGAGATGAAAAAGTGAAGTACCGTAGCAACTTCAACAAACTTCAGAACTGCCCAAAACATCACCTTTTAAATTAAAAAGTGAGAAACCTAAAGCATTAGGTTAGGTTAGGTTAGATTAGGGATGACCAAAACAAAAATTTTACCTAGTTTTTTTTAAAAGTTCTGAGAATTTAAATGGAATGAAAGAAAATCAGCAGATAAAGTTACTAAGCAAAAACTAAATGTATAGGCAGTGGATATTTTGCCATGACCGGCTAAGCTCCTATTAACGCTATTTTACCGTGAGGGTGCACTGATTGGATAATCGTCCATTACTGGCAAACAATGCAAGAACTATATTTGACAGTGACTGGCAGCATTTGGCATTTATTTAGCCATGAGTCGATCATTGTGTAGCTGTAAACATACCTAACCATATTTCTGTTGTGCATAAAAACTTATCATTATAAAAGAGGCAACATTTAATAGAACCTGACCTAACCAACCAAAGAAACCTACCTAACCTTACCTAACTTCCTAGCCGGAGGATAGACTCCCCGTCATATTAAACAGAAAGAACTTAGCCAATCAGAGAGAACTCATGGTAAAATAGCATTAGTAGGAACTTAGCCGGTCATAGCAAAATATCCACTACAAAATGTATAACAACTTCCCCCAACCAATGACGTATCCACAGAGAAACATCAACATTAAGTTTGGTGATGGAGAGAAAGACCTGAGTATGTATGGACCTCTTACAGAATGGTCACCTGGAATCACCTGTATACAACCATAATTAAGAAGAGTGAGGAGGATAAGCAACTGTTAACCAAAATATAATAAGGTCATTACAAGCTGTTTGGCTAGTGACAGATAAAACGATGAGTCACATCACCTGATAACACTTCAGGGTGACATGACTGCTAGATGACGAAGTAAACATGAATAAACGTAAGAATTTCATAACTTTAAAGTGAATTAGACAAAGAAAGAACACAAATAGTAGAGGAAGACTGATATACGGCGATGTTAACGTCACAAAATAATTCACTCCACTGACAAGTGACAGTGACCAAACTATCAATACACCTCATAACTCTCTAGAAAATAAAGATATCATCTCAAAATAGTACATATAGAACAAGGAGTATAACAATGAGGAGTTTATATATGTCTCAGACTGTTAACTCAAGAAAGAAGGATATAACAGCAATAAATCACTTAGTTAACTGACCCTTTAAACCCGCCATGTTTGTTATGATTTGCTTCTCTGCGATTCACCTAACTTATAAATTAAAATAAAATAAAAGGTTTACAATAAATTTTTTATGGTATATTCAGGTGCATATATGTAATACAAAAAATAATTAAATTTCTAATATTTATATGACAATGAATATGATTTTTAAAGTATAAATCGCATATATATATTATTGAACCAAGTTCTTTTTAACAACATGTACTTCTTATTTTGTTACTAAAATTTAAAACAAATAATAAAAATATCTACTTATTTAATATATAATACACTATTTTAATAAGCAGTATATTTGATTTATTACTAATGTTAAAATATTACAACTAACACTGCCAAAACTTTTTACTTTGTTACACATATTTCTAGAAAAATATCAGGATATAGACATATTTTTTTAGATATACTAGAAATATTTTTAATATTAAGTCAGTTTGTACTAGCCAATATTTGTCAATAAGATCTGTTCATGTCAGTTTCAACATTAGCCATTACAGCCGGTCCCGAAGTTCAGAACTAAATTAAACAAACAGAGAAAGTCTAAGTTAACATCAATATTCAGGTTTTAGGGTGTAATCCTTACTTGAATATGCATCTAAAATTTCACTAATGAGTTTCTATTCGTTCATTATGGATATATAAACCATTATGATGAAATGTAATTTTCACCTTTTTAATATTTCCTTCTTCTCTATTTTTTTTAATCTTTAACAGAAGGCAGTGGATATTTTGCCGTGACCGGCAAAGTTCCTAATAATGCTATTTTACCGGGAGTGAGTTCTGCTCGGTTAGTCGTCCATTACCGGCGAACGTGAGATTGACTTAGCGTGTTTCTGGCGGTATTTGGCATTTCCGTCGGAAATGTATATTTTTCGAGTATTTTAATAGATAAAATTACCAACAATATTACTTGTTTTAAGTGGGAAAATGTGGCGACATTGGCAATGGACTTGCTAATGCGAATAAACTTAATATTAACGAAGTTAATGGCTTTTATATTATAATAAATTACCTCTGATAGCACAAACAATATTTAACCGAGTCATATACAGTACAGTACTGTATATCAGTGTTAGAAGTGTCAATGGCTGCTGGTGGTACAGTCAACAGTGGTAAAGGGCGCGTCTCTCATATTGTGTCCTGGGTTGAGTCCCACAGAGACACGGGTGGGAAGATGTTATCCAGTGTGACACACCAATAAATTTCATAACAAAGTATCAAAAGATAGGACCAACCGCCTGATAGATGGTGAATTAAATCCTACTCAATCCCACACCCTGTGTATTAAAAAAATCTATAACACTCACCATTTGCTAAAAAGGCATCGTTGGTGTCATCGTTGGGGCCCTGTTGATATCAGAACTTGCAGATGAGCCTCTTGTCTGCATACATGTTATCATTAAATAACCTCAGCATCTCATCCTTAAAACAGTTGTTATTGAAGTACAGTCTTGTTTTGATTATTATGATAATAAATAATAAACCATCGAGAGTTTATTTCGTACGTTACTTTTCACATTTGCAACACCAGGAAATATACCTAGATAACGCTACATCAACATCACCACAAGGTCAGGATTCCTTCTCATATTACATTACCCAGACAGCCTTCCGAGCACGACCACACCCCACAGTCTTTCCTCGCATCATTTAACCGGAGTAAAAGAGTAATGTTGAACATATTTTACGTGGTTCATCATGTGATTGGATACATATATCATCCCCCAGCGGCAAACGTCATCTCCGTTAGATCGGTGAGACGTGCTGTGCCTGCTTGCCTTTCCGATGGGGGGTTGAAGGATGGCGCTTGGAACGATCATCGACATTTTATGAGTTATTTCTCTTTTACCTCCAAAGAGAGAGAGAGAGAGAGAGAGAGAGAGAGAGAGAGAGAGAGAGAGAGAGAGAGCCTCATCTTCCTCCGCCACTTTGACATCAGAGCCTCAACCTCTCCTCGTCACTACCATCACTCCCTCTCATCTCTCACTCCCTCTCAACTCTCACTCCCTCTCATCTCTCACTCCCTCTCATCTCTCACTCCCTCTCATCTCTCACTCCCTCTCATCTCTCACTCCCTCTCATCTCTCACTCCCTCTCAACTCTCACTCCCTCTCATCTCTCACTCCCTCTCAACTCTCACTCCCTCTCATCTCTCACTCCCTCTCATCTCTCTGTCCGTGTATCTCTCAAAGGCAGGAGTCTACCCTTTGAAAACCTCTTGATATCTCGTGTAACCTGCAGTTCAAAGTGTAGGATGTACAGGCCAGGCAGTTCAATAGGATGTACAGGCCAGTCTTACCTTCAATAACCTGCAGTTCAAAGTGTAGGATGTACAGGCCAGTCTTACCATCTATAACCTGCAGTTCAAAGTGTAGGATGTACAGGCCAGTCTTACCTTCAATAACCTGCAGTTCAAAGTGTAGGATGTACAGGCCAGTCTTACCTTCAATAACCTGCAGCTCAAAGTGTGGATCCAGTCAACTCCCCCCCTTTGAAACATCGGGGGAGGGGTACTGATGAAGAGTAGCCCCATCCAAGCTTATTTCACCTGATGATTAACCACCTTGACGCTACCTGGCCGGGGTTAGGTTAGGTTGGTTAATCTTCAGGTAAAATAAGCTTGTGGGGCTATCTTCAGGTAAAATAAGCTTGTGGGGCTAATCTTTAGGTAAAATAAGCTTGTAGGGTTAATCTTCAGGTGAAATAAGCTTGTAGGGTTAATCTTCAGGTGAAATAAGCTTGTGGGGCTAATCTTTAGGTAAAATAAGCTTGTAGGGTTAATCTTCAGGTGAAATAAGCTTGTGGGGCTAATCTTTAGGTAAAATAAGCGTGCAGGTCTAATCTTCAGGTAAAATAAGCTTGTGGGGACTAAGCTTCAGTTGATTTAGCCACCTGCCCTCGCCTCACTGGCAGGTTTCAACAATATACACAAATGCGGTACAGGTCTGAATAGTAATTACTTATATAATGAATTAATTCCATCTGATAATTACTAAGCTCGCAAATTAACGCATTTTTCATAGACCAAGTTAATGCTGCTTCAACCACCTGAGGAGCTCAATTATTCGGTGCTGTCGAGAGAGAGAAAGAGAAAGAGAGAGAGAGAGAGAGAGAGAGAGAGAGAGAGAGAGAGAGAGAGAGAGAGAGAGAGAGAGAGAGAGAGAGAGAGAGAGAGAGAGAGAGAGAGAGATCTAATACAGGAACTAACACTATGTATTCGCAAAACACACAGAGAGATATCAAATAAAGTAACACAAACGTCCACCTTCAACATGGAGAAGTTTACCCTAAAAAAAATTATCAAAGAAAATGGGAATATGAGTAATGGTATTTACACAAGGAGCTGACTAACCACTCATTCCATTCGTACCTTAAGAGTGAAGAGGGAATCACTTCAGGAACGCTATAGGTTAAGCTGAGAGAGAGAGAGAGAGAGAGAGAGAGAGAGAGAGAGAGAGAGAGAGAGAGAGAGAGAGAGAGATCGGAAATCGAACAGGTGATCATTCGCGCGCGAGACGAACCTTCTACCATTAAAGGCGAACAAGTCCCCTGGCGCCACACACAGATATCCATGGCTTCATAACTCTACACGACAGATATAGATAGATAGATAGATAGATAGATAGATAGATAGATAGATAGATAGATTCAGTAAAATTGACATAGATGATTAAGTTGATTCAGTATGTATACCTTGCAATGCAGGTGTACAGTTGGGATATATTCATCTACATAATTTAATTTATATCCGAAGCTGTTTGTCTAAGTTACTGTGTTTCCGACTCCTGGAAGCATAGTGGAAACAAGCATAGAGAAACGGACGCAAGCATAGAGAAACGGACGCAAGCATGGA